GTGGGTCTGGTGTTTAGAATGCCCTCAGAGCCTTACAGGTGATTTAAATGTGAACAGAAGCATCTGCTTAATAAACTAAGGAGAATTTGCCAAAGCTGGACCCACCAAGAACAGTGGGAAAGCACAGGTTTCCTGCTGGGGGCTCCTGCTGAGCCCAGCATTCTGCTGTCAGAGCTCCAGTCCCCAGAATGGACCCCATCACAGTCACGTCAACATGTGGGGAGGGAGAAGGCCACATCCAGGGATCACCACCACTGCCATCTGCCACCCTTGAGTTCACCTTGTAAAACCAAGATTCATTCTCCATTTCACTTTGTAAAATCATTTGCGGGGGGGAGGGGGGAAGGGGGAGAACTGTGTTGAGCTCTCTTGAAAAAATGGGTTTAAGCTCTCTTTTTAAAATAAAGTGAGGCTCAAACGCCAAGTGAACCTTCTCCAAGGAGACAAGTGCATGGATGACAGGATCTCCAAATGTTCTACCCAACAAGAAACCCCGCAAACAAATACCAACAGCTGACAACAGTGCCTGCTTCATGGCAGTGGAATAATTTTGGAAGCTGTAACCAAATAATCAGGGAAAGCCGAGTGACACCCAGAATTCAATCAGATATTTTATGTAATTCCAAGAAATGGGAGGTACATGAGCTCAAACGTATGTAGTATTAAACTAAAAGACATTGATTATATATTAAGAGCCAGAGAAAGACAAAACCTAATCAAATGGTGTAGCTACCTACCTTAGTAAGACCCACAGATGGAATCAGACTTGAAAACTAACCTTAGTTAGGTTAGTTAGACTCAAATCTAAGCGTGCGCTATGGGATACTCCATTCTTTTTTAAATGTATTTTTATTGAGGTGTAATCAACATACACCGTCATATTAGTTTCAGGCATAGGACACAATGATCCCACCTCGTCCTTTAATTAATGAAGTTTCTGTTATGGACTGTTGCCTAGGGTTCAGCACGTCCATGAGAGCTGCCAAGATCCTGTCACAGCCTAGACAGCATCACTTAGAAGCCTCAGCAAGCTGGGAAGGCAAAAGACAAAAAAGTTATCTTGGGAAGGTAACCCCAAGCCTATGGGATGACATGGTGTTTTCTTAAGGGGCGAGCATCTTTAACCCCAGAAGATAGTCTTGTGTCCTTCCTCCCTAAATCATCATCCCCCAGCTTGAACCTCATGTCTTAGGATCGAATCAGCCTAACCACCCTGTTGGCACTGTTCTTTACCAGAACCTGGGTCAGCCTGCCTCAGTTCCTGATCATTTTAGCTCACCAACCTCTCTGACACCAATCCTGCCCTGACGATTGGTGATTTTAACATGCATAAGATGACCTGCCCCACATCCCGGGTCTCAGGTCTACTCCCTGACCCCGTCCAACACCATCTCTCGGTCACGCGATCTCATGGCCACACCCCAGACTTCATCCTCACTGATCATACACTGTCAGACCAGCCCCTCCTGTCTCTCCAGCTCGCTTTCTCTAGGACACCAACTCCAATGATCTTTCAGCCCCACTGAGATCAGTAATCCTTTGATCCTGCTACCTTTTCACTGTCCCTCACCCTCTGCTCATAACATCTCTTCACTCTTTACCAGTTTAAACACCGTGGTCAATCATTATCATTGTTTTTTGTATACACCTGTCATTCTCTTGTTCCACTTTTGCTTTGCCTAATTCATTAAACCCTGAGAAATTCAAACACTCCACTATACCGCCCCTGCACCTTGAAGCGGAACACAGCTTAACACACACACACACACACACACACACACACACACACACTGATTGATCTCACTTTAAAATCCTGACAAGATGCCTCAAAGGGCTCATAAAGCTGTTCAGCAATTAGGCCACATCTCTCTACACCATTCACATGCCTACTGTCCTAGACTCTCCCTTCTCTTCTTTCCTCAAACCTCTCATAGATCCTCCCTATCCAGTGGACTCACTCACTCTGCCCTCGTTTCTACGCTAGACACCCACATGCCCAGCCTCTCCTGGTGGAGGGCCACGCTGTGCTCTGCACCAGCTTCCCGTCCCCTCTCAACTGCTTACAACATTGAGCCAACAACTGGCCCTTCTTCCTCCCACATCGTCAGTGTCACCCCACCCGCTGCCTGGTTCACATCGGCACAGAAACCTACACTACAGCCTACAAGCCCTTGACCCCTTCCGGGCGGTGGCCATCCCTCTGCTCCCTTCGACAGCGCTCCCTTGGAAGTTCCCTCTACTTCCTTTCGTTCTCGAAGTCAGACGTCCATCCCTATCCTTCCACTGAAACTGCTCATGAAGGTCAGCCAGAACCCCTACGTTGCTGAATTCAGTGGTCAAGCCTCCGCCCTCACGCCTCTTGATCTGTAAGCATCACTCGACCCAGTGAACCACCACCTGCCCCCCGCACACACTTTTTTTCCTGCCTGGCTTTCGGGACATCATACTCTGTTTCCCTCGCTCCTCAATAGCCCCTCCTTCTGAGTCTCCTTTGCAGGTTCCGTTTGCCAGGTATGTTCTTCCTCCAGACATCTGCATTCTCCCTGTGTCACTTCCTCCAACTCCTTGTCAAATGCCTCTTTCTCACTGAGGCCTTTAGTAACCACCCTATTTCAAATTGCAACCTCCTTTCCCCTTACCAGGCTCTATTATTTCCTTTGTGCACTATTGTACCCATCACCTTTAACATGCAATATAACTTACTTATTTAACATGTTTATTATCTTTCACCCCACCTTCACTACCATATAAACCATGAGGGCAGGGATTTTTGGGGGGGTGGGGCGGGAGGGCTTAATGTTTATCCCCGGTGGTCAGAATAATGAGGAACACATGACAGGCACTCAGTAAATAACTGGTGAATGAGTTAATTAAATAAGGATTATTAAAGTTCTTGTGACAAGGAATCTGTGCATAATTAGCATTTAAAGTGCAGTATGTATAATATTTAAGAGTATTTGGCCTAAAAGAATCATAGTCAGCCTTATAATTCCAATTTTAAATATGTAAATTGAGTAAATAATTTACACCTGTGATCTTAAATAACAATCGTACTAGTTTATAGACAGTCTGGAACATATAGGAATACTAATCACTATATTTATAGTTTACTTTGTTCGATTTTAAAAGAATTAGATTTTTTTTAACGTTTTATTTTATACTGGAGTATAGTTGATTAACAATGTTATGATAGTTTCAGGTGTACAGCAAAGTGATTCAGTTATACATATACATGTATCTATTCTTTTTCAAATTCTAAAAGAATTAGAGTACTTGGGAAAGTTTGTCAGACAATTAAAATTCTTAAAATAAATTTATAAATACAAGTTAAAACATTTGAGTATTTATCTAAGATTACAAAGGGCACCAAAAATTCAAACATATTCCCTTTAAAAGTGATTATTTAACTTTGCTAAATTTAGAAATAATAAGATTTACAAGCTGAACTTAAAAATTTAAGAAATGTTTAGGATTTTAATCTTAATTTTAGTAGTTTATTAATTTTAAAAAACAAAAGGAAACTTCTAAATGTTCTTTTCTGAGTTTTCTAAATGTCTTTTCACACATGTGCGCACACCCACACACCCACACACACACACACATTCAAATGCCCTCTAGAACACTAAAAAAAAAAAAAAAAAATACGAACAGCATTTAAGCATTTCACTAGCGCCCTCAAGTGTCCAAAGAAAGGAATAACACATGTACATAAAAACATTTTTTCTTAGTAAAAGCCTACTAAACGTTCAGACTACTATGTAGGATATTCACATGAAAAAATATATTTAATCAATGAGAATTTACTACAGTATTTTCAATATAGTGAGAAACATCATAGTGTATCTCCACTCTCCCTATATTCCCAAGAGGCCACAGGTAACAGGTGACATCTGATCTGGGTTTGAAGTCGGAATTACACCCCACGGTCACAGAAGGAAAGAAGAGAGAAAGTAGTGAGAAGGAGCAGAGGCAGAGGAGAGAGGAAGAAAAGAAAAAAAACGTGCTGGGAAGGGGTGAGCCGTCTAGCTTGAAAGGAATGCGTGTGAACACGGTGAAGAGTGTCTAAACAATACTTCCAGCAAACTGCAGTCATTAGCCTCCGTGGTGACAGCAGTGTGAGTTGAAAATAAGCAAAGTGGTACATTGTTGGAATGAAGCTCTTAAAGGCCACATCTCAGCGCAGTGATTTTGGTTCGTAAAAGCATCTACCAGGAAAGTGTTAAAGATGGAGCGGCAGTTCTCGGGTCCAGGTGGCACACGCAAAAAGAAGGTGGTAGCATTGCACTTTGATAAATCTCACAACAAGAACCACAAGGTTAGGCCTCCAGCCAAGGCTTTAGAGCCTGTTACCTTCAGTTGTCCAGCCGGACCAAAAGCACTGACCACGTGGAGACCAAGAGAGCATAACTGGAGGGCCCAGGCTGAAAGGTCAGCCCTGTAGATGAATGAGGCACCTGAAACCTACCAACAATCAGCTCGAGAGCAACACCTAAGCCCAAGCGAGCACCTTTGCAGTGTCTTATCTTACTTTCAACTAGTAGACTAAACATCATGTATCTTTAAAATCTGGCCAGTCGTTTTAATGCATTTATAGCCGTTTTGTCCATTTTTAATTATCACCTGTTTGAACACGAGTCAGTTTAATACCCAAAGTTAATTCCATGAAGTGGTTTTTGAACTTAAATCCTCAGATGACCCTCCCTCCAATTCTCAGGGCTTCTCATTTAGCAAGTCCATAATGAAGTTCAAGAATCTGCAATTTTTCTCAACATCTTAAATGGCTCCCATGCAGGGTTCTGCTGGCCATGCTTCCAGAACACGTCCTCAAGGACAGAGGAGCTGAAAGAAATCACTTTCACCTTCTGACCTGCGGGACACACAGACTCAAACTTCTGAAAAACCCAAGAATATTCTTGTTGTTTGTTTACTTGTCTGTATAAAAAGCAAACTGAGACCTTAAGGCCTTGGAAGAAGGAGAAGTGTCACCAGTCAGATCTGCATCAGAAACTTCGCCCCACTTCCTCGTAATCCTTCTCCAAGACGGCCAAGTCTTCCCTGGCTTCTACAAACTCGCCTTCCTCCATGCCTTCCCTAATATACCAGTGCAGAAACGCCTTCTTGGCGTACATGAGGTCGAACTTGTGTCCCAGGCGGGCCCAGGCCTCCACGACCGCCGTGCTGTTGCTCGCATACAGACGCCTTCCCTAATATACCAGTGCAGAAACGCCTTCTTGGCGTACATGAGGTCGAACTTGTGTCCCAGGCGGGCCCAGGCCTCCACGACCGCCGTGCTGTTGCTCAGCATACAGACAGCCCGCTGGACCTCGGCCAGGTCCCCTCCCGGCACTGCCCGGGGGGGAAGACCATTGATGCCCACCTTGAATCCAGTTGGACACCAATCTACAAACTGGACAGTGTTCCTTGTCTTCATGGCTGCAATTGCCGTGTTCACATCCTTGGGGACCACATCCCCTCTGTAGAGCAGGCAGCAGGCCACATACTTCCCCAGGCGAGAGTCACACCTGACCAGCTGGTTGGAGGACTCGAAGCAAGCAGCTGTGATGTCTGACACAGAGGGTTCCTCGTGGTGGGCATTGTCCGCAGAGATGATGGGGCGAAGCTGGTCATGGGGAAGTGTATTCTAGGGTAAGGTACAAGGTTGGTCTGGAATTCAATCAGGTCCACGTTCAGGGCCCCCTCAAACCGGAGGGAAGTGGTGATGGAAGATACTGCCTGACTCAGCAGCCTGTTGATGCTGGCATAAGAGGGGTGTTCAATGTCAAGTTTGCGATGGCATATGTCATAGATGGCCTCGTTGTCCACCAGGAAGGTACAGTCCGCATGCTCTATGGTGGGATGGGTGGTGAGGATGGTGTTGTAAGGCTCCACTATAGCCGTGGAGATCCGCGGGGCTGGGTAGACAGAGAACTCCAGTTTAGCCTTTGTGCTGTAGTCTTTGGAGAGCTGCTCCATTAAGAGAGACGTAAATCCTGATCCAGTGCCTCCTCCAAAGCTTCGGAAAATCAAAAATCCCTGAAGACCACTGCACTGTTCCGCCTAGGGAAAGTAAATGGGACGTAAGAATTCAGCCAAATAAACCCAGAAGCAGTGGTAGCCGTGGGACACAACTAGTACCCCAAAACAAACAGAAACTTTCAGAAAGAACTGGTTTACCATCATTAACTCATCACAAACATATTTACTTTGAAACATACTCGAGAAGTTACTTCTGGAGTGGGGGAAGTGCTTAGAGTTTTACTGTAAGCAAAGCATAAATATTCAACTGTCTTTTGCTACCCTTGATGAATTTATCTGTATGTGATCTAAAGTAAGGTCTTTATCAATAACAAAGAAAATGACAAGCAAAATATTGAAGCAATATAATCCCCTCCCGCAAGTAGATGAAGTAACTTTCATTTTCATACCCAATCTACTGCGCTGGTGTAAAAGGTACTGTATTCCCTAACGATTATGCCAAACATCAAAATTTTTACTGGACAAAGGATTCTCCAGACACAAGTCCTTAGGGAAGAATTAACTGTCAGTAAAGAGTAACTGATCTCCAGGTAGGATGTTCCTCCTGTTAACTTTACAGATCTTAGTAACTATTGGAAAATGACAGGTTTTAGAGTTCTTTGGAAGTCTCTGATAAAGATATGCCATGAGTCAGCAGAAGCAAGAGTAGATGGGGGCTAGTCACTAAAAAGAAGGAAATCCTGCTGTTTGTGACAACGTGAATGGACCTTGTGGGCAGTTAAGCAAAGTGAAATAAGTCAGACAGAGAAAGAAAAGAACTGCATCATCTCACTTATATGTGGAATCGAAAAAAGCCAAACTCATAGAAACAGAGAGTAGAATAGTAGTTGTGAGGAACTGGGGTCTGGTGGGAGATGCTGCTCAAAGCGTATAAACTTCCAGTTATAAGATGATTAAGTTATTGGGATCTAATGTACAGCATGGTGACTGTAGTTAACAGCACTGTGTTGTAAACTTGAAAGCTGCTAAGAGAACAGATCTTAAATGCTGTCGTCTCCACACACACAAAAAGGTAATTATGTGAGGGATGGATATATTAACTAACCTGATTGTGGTGATCATTTGGCAATATATTCCTGTGTCACATCACCATGATGTACACCTTAACTTTACACAATGTTATAGGTCAATTATACCTCAATAAAACGGGGGGGAAATAAAATATTTCCTCATAAACATAAAAAGAAAAACAAAATAGTCGATGGGGGCTGTACAGTAAGTGCAAAGGCTTCTTTCCCTTGCCTAGTAAGGAAGGTAGTCAGTGCCCACATCAGGACCAGCCCAGCTTTGAGCATGCGTAGGAGGCTCCCAGGGGAGAGGTTGGGTGGTGATGGAGGCGTAGGTAGAAAGTGCTGCTTGGGCGGGTCCCGCAGGATCACAGGCACACAGACACTGCCTGTGGAAGGAGAGAGGAGCCACTTGCCAGCTTTCGGAGCCTCTCCAGCACCAGATCGAGGATCTCTGGCCCCACAGAGTAGCGACCACGGGCATAGTTATTTGCAGCATCCTCCTTTCCACTGACGAGCTGCTCCGGGTGGAAGAGTGAGCGGTACCTGCCTGCACGGATCTCGTCTGCCAAGAGGAAAGGAGGTCAGTGCAGTCCATCCCATCCCACCCCTAACTCTTGCACAGCCCTGTACCCTGACCTGCTTTCTCCCTGCTAATGTCCTATAAAGAAATGGATTTAAACTGCCCAACTGGCCTTCCTTAATCGAGGAAAAGGTATAATTATCCTCATATAAATTGAAAGCACGTTTTTCCATCATACACCCTTTATTAGTTTCTCAGGGCTACTGTAACAAAGTACAACAAACTTGGTGGCTTAAAACAAGGGAGATTTATTGCCTCATAGTTCAGGAGGCCGTAAGTTCAATGTCCAGATGTTGGCAGGCTTGGTTCCTTCTGGAGGCTCTGGTGGAGAAACAGCCGCATGCCTCTCTCCCAGCTTCTGGTAACTGCATACAGTTCTTGGACTTCTTGGCCGGCAGCTACATCACATCATCTCTGCCCCCATCACAATGCCCCCTTTTCCTGTCTGTGTGTTCTCTCTTCTCATAAGGTGTACTGAGGGGACCACCCTGCTCTTAGAAAATGAGTGCTTTTCCTCTTAGGTAGGAGCTTCTAGGTATCTGATACCAAGTCCATTGGGGTACATCTGCATAAATAGATGTCATCAAGTCAATTTTATCATTATTATTTATAACTGTTATATGGGCCATATATCATCCATATATCCAACCAGATCATTGGACATAGGGCCTCCCTAATCCAGTATGACCTCATCTTAACTATGTACATCTGCAAAGACCCCAGTTCCAAATAAACTCATATTCTAGGGTTCTAGGTGGATGCAGAGTTTTGGGGGGACAACATTCAATCCACCACACATGCGTGGTACTTTTGCATTTTAAGATAAAGAGCCAGCTGCGTGCTGGAAAAGCATACCAATCTAAATGATTAGTTATATGCTTAAAAAGAGGCTTTCACAAGAAAAACAGAGCTGGAGGAATCAGGTTTCTGGACTTCAGACTATACTACAAAGCTACAGCAATCAAGATGGTATGGTACTGGCACAAAAACAGAAATATAGATCAATGGAACAGGATAGAAAGCCCAGAGATAAACCCACGCACATTTGGTCACCTTATTTTTGATAAAGGAGGCAAGAATATACAATGGAGAAAAGACAGCCTCTTCAATAAGTGGTGCTGGGAAAACTGGACTGCTACATGTAAAAGAATGAAATTAGAACACTCTCTAACACCATATACAAAAATAAACTCAAAATGGATTAAAGACCTAAATGTAAGGCCAGACCCTATAAAACTCTTAGAGGAAAACATAGGAAGAACACTCTACAAAATAAATCACAGCAAGATCCTTTCTGACCCACCTCCTAGAGAAATGGAAATAAAAACAAAAATAAACAAATGGAACCTGATGGAACTTAAAAGCTTTTGCACAGCAAAGGAAACAAGATGAAAAGACAACCGTCAGAATGGGAGAAAATATTTGCAAATGAAGCAACTGACAAAGGATTAATCTCCAAAATTTGCAAGCAGCTCAATATCAAAAAAACAAACAACCCAATCCAAAAATGGGCAGAAGACCTAAATAGACATTTCTCCAAATAAGATATACAGATTGCCAACAAACACATGAAAGGATGCTCAACATCACTAATCATTAGAGAAATGCAAATCAAAACTACAATGAGGGATCGCCTCCCACCAGTCAGAATGGCCATCATCAAAAAATCTACAAACAATAAATGCTGGAGAGGGAGTGGAGAAAAGGGAAGCCTCTTGCACTGTTGGTGGGAATGTAAATTGATACAGCCACTATGGAGAATGGTATGGAGGGTCCTTAAAAAACTAAAAATAGAACTACCATACGACCAAGCAATCACACTACTGGTCATATACCCTGAGAAAACCATAATTCAAAAAGAGTCACATACCACAATGTTCATTGCAGCTCTATTTACAATAGCCAGGACATGGAAATAACCTAAGTGTGCATTGACAGATGAATGGATAAAGAAGATGTGTCACATATATATAATGGAATATTACTCAGCCATAAAAAGGAACAAAACTGAGTTATTTGTAGTGAGGTGGATGGACCTAGAGTCTGTCATACAGAGTGAAGTAAGTCAGTAAGAGAAAAACAAATACCATACGCTAACACATACATACGGAATCTAAAAAAAAAACCCAAAACAGAAAAAAAAACATGGAGCAGGATAGGAATAAAGATGCAGATGTAGAGAATGGACTTGACATGGGGGGGTGGGAAGGGTAAGCTGGGACAAAGTGAGAGAGTGGCACGGACATATATACACTACCAAATGTAAAATAGATAGCTAGTGAGAAGCAGACTCATAGCACAAGGAGATCAGCTCGGTGCTTTGTGACCACCTACAGGGGTGGGATAGGGAGGGTGGGAGGGAGATGCAAGAGGGAGGAGATATGTGGATATTTGTATATGTATAGCTGATTCACTTTTTTATAAAGCAGAAACTAACACACCATTGTAAAGCAATTATACTCCAATAAAGATGTTAAAAAAAAAAAGAGAGAGAGAGAGAGGCTTTCACAAAGAAGCATGCAAACTCAAATACCCACACCACTCGGTGCAGTTAACACAAATGCCTGAAGCAGGGAAATAGTGTGAAGATGTCAGTATTCTATACAACCAAGCACAACCCTTGCTGGTTTCATTCCCTTTTAAAATAAGAAAACATCAAAACACAGCATGTCCAAGGCCCGGGTCACAGTCTCCTACCTTAGGATTATCCAAACAGCGTGATTCCTGAAGATCGACGCAGCGGCATTTGAGGGCTAGGGAGGCTCTGGGAATGTTGCCCTGGTTATAGCGGTTGGGATACGCATTGCATAGCAGTTCAGAGCATGTGCTCAAGAATCAATTTCCTGGGTGCATGGCTGGCTTTCCTCACTTAGCTACAGAGCAGTTACTTAGTGTCTCTAAGCCCCAGTTATATCCTCTCACAAATGAGGATGATAGCAAGACCTACCCCAGTGAGTTATCATGAGGATTAAAGACCACAGAGCATGATGCATGGCCCATATAACAATTATAAATAATAATGATAATGGCTTCATGTCATGTATTTATGCAGATGTACCCCAATGGCCTTGGCATCAGATACCTAGAAGCTCCTAAGAGGAAAAGCACTCATTTTCTAAGAGCAGGGTGGTCCCCTCAGTATACCTTGCTCTCCTGTGTATGACCATGTATATGACCACAATTTGGTACACCCCTAAATGTTTAAATTTAATAAAACTGAGTTGAGGGCTTCCCTGGTGGCGCAGTGGTTGAGAGTCCGCCTGCCGATGCAGGGGACACGGGTTCGTGCCCTGATCCAGGAAGATCCCACATGTCGCGGAGCGGCTGGGCCCGTGAGCCATGGCCATTGAGCCTGCAAGTCCGGAGCCTGTGCTCTGCAATGGGAGAGGCCACAACAGTGAGAGGCCCCCGTACCGCAAACAAACAAACAAACAAACAAACAAAAAAAACTGAGTTGAAATTACTTTTAACTAACATATGCACACCAAAAAACAACCGCCAAAGTTGGGATGTTTTAAAGATATATTTACAAACAAGTGGGCATATAATTCCAGGTAGACTACCTGCTTCTCACCTGAAGCAATAAGGCTGAGTTCAGTTTAAGTAGGGAATCTATGGAAGCCTACTTCTTCAAGACAATGTTCAATTGAGTTCTTGAGGGTGGTTAGTTCCATAAATTCCTTCAGTAAAATCCACTTTCTGGGAGATCAGTGATATAGCACCACCATTCACAAGTACACAAATTTCTGCCATGTTTCCACCCTGCTCAGTCACCATGTACCTGGCCCAGCATCCTTAACCAGCATCCACAGGGACTTTGGTGGTTTTTAAACATGATTACAATTTGATGGTTCCTTGGCTTCCTTACCTCCATTCCAGGTTAAGCCTTCTAGGACTCCCCTATATCAATGTCCTCCTCATTTTCAAGCTGAAACAACACTCACAGGTGTCTGGATGTGTCTTTGCTCATGGTTTCCATCTCTCTCACCTGTGAACTATTAAAATCCTCCTGCCCAGTCTTCCAGACTCAGAGGAACTATCACTTGGTCCATAAGGTCTTTTCTGATCTTTTCCATAGAGGTAAAGCTCAGGCCTCACTTCCTTCAGATCCCTACATACCACCTCCTCAGTAAAGCTTTCCTTGATGTTCCTTTTGAAAAACAGCCCCCTCAGCCCACATGCAATATTCCCTTCCCCTATGGCCCTGCTTTGCTTTTCCCCATGCTCCAATTGCCACCAGACACACTATTTGGCTTTTATAGGTCTGCACTCCACTAGAATGTAAGCTCCAGGAAGACTGATACTATATATCTCTCCAATGTCAAGATAGTGTCTGGCCATATGAGGCACTTTTATTTGTTGACTAAAACAAGGAAAATCAGTGCCTCCTCTCTAAACCCTGGAGCTTATGGTGCTTTGTCTGGACCAGCTCAAGATCCTCAAAATTGCCCTCCCTCCAGGCTGAGCTCTAGAGGATTGGGGAATTTCTTCTGGTCTTTGCCTGCCGACTGTCTCTCCTCCAGCTTGCTTAGCTTCTGATCCTGGGTCCTCCTATTTGCCTAGGTCTTTGGATTAGCACAAGTTAAGATACCTGCTACAATATTCATAATGCTGGGATGTGGCCTCTCACGTTGCTCCTTCAGCTACATTTACCAAGGTCCTCTGGGGACATATTCTACCCTGCCCAGGATCACAGCACACCAGACTCCAGCGAAAGCTCACAGTTGCAAACTCCCATTTGTTTGAAACGAAAATTCAGATATTCTCTTAGGGCACTTATAACTCAAGTCAGAATATGACGTGATTGCCTCTCTCAGGTTCCACACTAGTCTTGCCTGTTCTTGAAGCCATCAGTAGCTCCTTATTATTATTATTATTTTTTTTGTGGTACGCGGGCCTCTCACTGTTGTGGCCTCTTCCATTGCGGAGCACAGACTCCGGACGCACAGGCCCAGCGGCCATGGCTCACGGGCCCAGCCGCTCCGCGGCATGTGGGATCTTCCCAGACCGGGGCACGAACCCGTGTCCCCTGCATCGGCAGGTGGACTCTCAACCACTGCGCCACCAGGGAAGCCCAGTAGCTCCTTATTGTTAATTCTCTCACAACATTTAGCAGAGTAATACTGAATCAGTACATCTTGGCCTTGACATTTCTTAACTTCCACCTATTAATTAACAAAAAACCTTTCTATCATTTCCCTCACATTGACATCAACGTACTTTCTCCATCAGTTTACTCGATTCTGACTGCGTTCTGATGAGGAAATGAACTCCAATCCAGATTGTATTTTCCAAGGATGACTGTAATGCTATTTCCTATCTCGCCTGTGCTTCTAGAACCTCACTATTTCTGTATCAGGAGGTGAGGTCTATATCCCTTCCCAGGATGGATCTTTGTAACCGCTTCAACCCGTGGAGGACAGCTGAAGTGACACAATGTGACTTCTGAGGCCAGGTTATAAAAATACCATGGACTTCTGCCTTGTTCTCGTGGGATGCTTGTTCTTGGAACCCAGCTGCCATGCCACAAGGACACCCGAGCAGCCCACAGAGACCCCACAGCCCTGGCTTAGCTCTCAGCCAACAGCCAGCACCAAATCGCCAGCCAAGCGAGTGAGCCACTTTCAAAGTGAATCTTCCGGCTCTCACTTGAGTCTACCTTCCTGACACCATATGGACCAGAGAGGAGCTGTCCTCTGAGCCCTGCCCAAACTGCAGATTCATGGACAAAGTAATGGTTGTTGGTGTTTTAAACTGCTAAGTTTGGAGGCAATTTATTACACAGCAGAAAATAATTGATACAGAGTACCAAACCCAAACCCACCCTCCTCTGTAGTTTTCTCTGAAGTCAGCAAGACCCTTTCTCTCCCCAGCATTTCGCCAGCTCCATTTCAAGTGTTTTTGCACGAGATACTACAACATCTGCTGTTAATAATCATAAGTAATCATTTTATAATCATTAATCATCATTTCCCCACAATTAGAAGAGTTATATAGCTCCTTCCTTCTTTGGAATCATGTTCAACTATTCTATTCTCTAAAAGCAGGTAATGCCAAATTTCAGATTCTTTGCCAGAAGCTTCTAGCAACTGGCTTTCAAACCCAGGAAAAGATTTAGTATTCTGTTACAGTAGATTGTGTGGAGAAGCTAACAAGGTTTTCGTTCTTTTCATCACACAGAAAAAGAAGGCTAAGCTAGTCTTCCCTTTGGGTTTGTTTGTCCTGCTGATCACCCTAAGTGTCCACTGAGAGATGCTCTAAATTTGGCAAAGGGCCATATGATCCGGTTCAGATAGATTCATATAATCTGATGATCCCACCCACTGATACTTGCTTGTTTGGGTTGTGGACCCGGTTAAGTACACTAGAATGTAAAATGTACATTACCTACAACAGTTGGCTCCAGGTCCATGAAGAGTGCTCTGGGCACGTGCTTCCCAGCTCTGGTCTCACAAAAGAAGGAATCGAAAGATGCACCCATAGGCTCCATTTTGGCACGTGCCTGCGGATCCTGCCTGCCGTCAAGAACAGCGCCATCTGGCTGGATTCCGTGTTCTAGGCAGTAGAGCTCCCAACAGGCATCCCCAATCTGGACGCCAGCTTGGCCAATGTGGACAGACAGGCACTCCCTCTGAAATGAGCCGTAGTATTTAAGTTACAGCTGTGCATCTTCCTAACATGATAACACGAGCTACATCACTCAGCAGGTCCTCCCAGGGCTGAGAGAAAGCAGGCTAGCGTATGCCAGCAAGAGAACTTTGTGATAAAGCTAATGAAAACTGCCTCATGGAACCCAAAAACCAAGGTACAGGTAAGCTTCAGGAACAATTAAACCAAGGACTCCAGTTCAAACAACATAAATTAAGCACCTATTGTGTAATGGGCTAAGAATGAGTTAAGATATATCATATATGAATAAAATCAAGCTTTCTCACCCAGAAAAAAAATTAGTTATTGGAAAGGAATAAAACCAAAATCAATGTACAGCCTGATATATGTTAAAACCCACTGCAGTAAATCTCATATCTTGAGATTTTACATTTACTGTTCATATGTGCTCTAAATAAGGAAGGATGTTCTAAGCTTAAAAGTAGTGCAAAATTTACCAAGGAAACATGCTATAGATTTAATAACCCCAAAATGTAAAAACTCCATACTATAATAAACAAAAATACTGATGTATATAAAAAAGGATTTATGTATAGCCCTTCATATATGAGCTATACATAAGGCAATTTTATATACATCAATTAAAAAATACTTGAGACATCTATTAGATAAATAGGAAAATGACATAAACAAATGAATTACAAAAGAAAGAAATGATCTAAAATACAAAGATTTAAGCACAATGGCATTCACAGTATCATTATTTATAAGAGTAAAAACCAAGAACCAATCTACTTAACCATTTACCTATTGTTGGGCATTTAAAGGAAAGTACATCGATACAATGGCATGCTATGCAAACCTTCAACAGTTACCAAAAAATTGTATGACATGGGAAATGCTTATGTTAAAATGTTACGTGAAAGCGTATGTTATATAATTGTATATAAAGTATGATGTCAAATACATTTAAAAATAAGCTTACTCAGCCATAAAAAAGAATGAAGTAATGCCATTTGCAGCAACATGGATGGGCCTAGAGATTATCATACTAAGTGAAGTAAGTCAGAGAAGGACAAATATCATATGATATCACTTATATGTGGAATCTAAAAAATGATACAAACAAACTTCTTTACAAAACAGAAACAGACCCACAGACATAAAAAACAAACTTATAGTTACCAAAGGGGAAGAGGGGAGAAATAAATATAAATACATATAACATAGATAAACAACAAGGTCCTACTGAATGACACAGGGAACTGTATTCAACATTCTGTAATAAACCATAATAGAAAAGAATATGAAAAAGAATATATGTATGTATAACTGAATCACTTTGCTGTACACAAGAAACTAATTCAACTTTGTAAATCAACTATACATCAATAAAAATAAACAAATAAAATAAAATAAAAGTAAAAATAAGCACAGAAAACAAGTCTTTAAAATGCATCAAAATATTAACTCTAGTTACATCTGGGTAGAATTTTTTTTCCTGTTTAAACTTACCTATTTTCTTCACCTTCATTAGCCTCCCCTCTCCTCTCCCACTTTTAAATTACCTTTCACTTTTATTTTTTTTTAAGGCAAACAACTTTTTTTTCTGTAATTTAAATATCTACTCAACTAAGAGAGGGGAGAAAAAGTTAAATCCTAAAAATCTAAAGGGACAGCAATTGCTGGCTTTAATATCGTTGTGTTTTGATTGCCAATGGTCATGGAACAAGTCTGTGCAGAGGGTCTAACAGGGTGAGAAGTCTGTTTACTGCATCATCAGGACCCTTCAGGCTGTCTGCCTGATATGCTGATAGGCAACCCCGGCATCCTCTGTCTGTCCGTGGCTGCACTTTCCCAAGGTCTGAGATTCAACCACAAAAAGACCACCGATTGGAGGAGGGGAGGGAGATCTCTGTGGCCAGTCACAGCCCTGCCATCTGACCCGGACTCTGCTCACTCTGCTTGTGCTCAGCCGTAAAAACCCTGTACTTTGTCTCCTTGAGTCACAGGCGTAACACAGAGCTCTGTGCTTTACGAGGAATTCAAGTTCATTACCTGAGTAGAACTTCCCTCTGATTTCTTTTGTATGCAACCATGTCTCTCATGACAAAGGCAGTGAACTCAATTTACAAAGCACTTCACTTAGTACCAACCAAGTTTTCCAACCTCTATCTGGCACAGAAAAATCAAAACAACATATTCCATCATCAACAGCCTTCTAACACCTGAGTCTGTAAAGCACAGCTTCAATCCTCTCTCCTCCCAAAGGACTTAAGATGATCTCAGTACATTAGCTACTGTAATCAGATCAAAACTTAACCCAATTCCTAGATTTAGGTACAAACTTAAAAGTGGCGAAGGGGTGGGGGTGGAGGGGGTGGAGGGGGGTGGCGAATTCCTTGTTTCTGCGTCATTAAAACCACTTGTATGTAGATTTCTCTCACAACATCCTTCCACGGCTGTTTCCCACCCAGTCCAACAGGTCATGCACACAGGGTACTTGCTCTTAATATTCACAGTAAAAATAATCACCTACATGAAAAACAATTGCTGCTCTTCATGGGGACTGTTCTCCCAAGTGATACAGACATAGGAGGGAAACTGAGCTTTTTGAACTTGGCAGGAATACTTGGCCCAAGAAGGACCAATCTTGCCCATCCTGGTTTGAGAAGCAGCTGAGTTTATCTCATAACTGTGTCCCGGGGACAGAAGGCTATCTCCACCCTATTCTTAGCCTTTTCCTCCTTTCCAAACTATCTGTTAAAATATTAGTCACACTATATAAAAGAAAAAAAGACTGTAAAATGCCCACTGAATATCAGTAGTGATGTCACAGCACATTAATAAATGCTGCTTTAAAGCTTATTGGGAATTACTAGGACAGCACAGTTTTTTAATTACCTTTTTATTTTGAGATAAATATGAATTGTAGATTCATGTGTGGTTATAAGAAATAATGCAGAAAGAGCTCATGGATGCCTTACCTGTTTTCCTCCAGTGGAAATATCTTGCAAGATCACACCCAGAATATCAAAACTGATACAGTCAAGACAGAGCATTTCCATTACTGCAAGGATCCCTGATGTAGGAAGGCATAATTTTTAAGAGCAAAACAATATAAAATAAACATCCTTAAAATGTTGGAGAGACAGTCCAATGGGGTGAGAAGATCAAAGATGAAAAAGCAATTCGAATGCTTGCTTCCATTTAAGAATTAAAAATTCTAAGACTAAAAATTACTGTGACTGGAACATAAGAGATAATAACACTGTTGGTGGGAACATAAATTGGTGCAGCCACTGTGGAAAACAGTTTGAAGGTTTCTCAAAAAACTAAAAACGGAACTGCCATATGACACAGCAATTCCACTCCTGGGTATATATTTGAGAAAAACAAAAACACTAATTTGAAAAGATACATGAACCCCAGTGTTCATAACAGCATTATTTACAATTGCCAAGACATGGAAGCCACCTGAGTGTCCATCAACAGATGAATGGATAAAGAAGTGGTATACACACACACACACACACACACACACACACACACACACAATGGAATATTACTCAGCCATTAAAACAGAACAAATTTTTGCCATTTGCAGCAACATGGATGGACTTGGAAAATTGAAATAAGTCAGATAGAGACTAACATGTATGATATCACTTATATGTGGAATCTAAAAAAATACAAGAAACTAGTGAATATAACAAAAAGAAGCAGACTCACAGATACAGAGAAAAACTAGTGGTTAGCAGAGGGGAGAGTGAAGGGGGAGGGCAATTTAGGGGTAGGGGACTAAATGGTACAAACTATTAGGTATAGAATAAGTGACAAGGATACATTGTACATCATGGGTAATAGAGCCAATATTTTATAGTAATTACAAATGGAGTATGACCTTTGAAAATTGTGAATCACTATATAGCACACCTGTAACATATAATATTGTAGAGCGACTCTATGTCAATTAAAAAAAGAAATAAAAAACCAAGAGAGTGAAAGGAAAGTGGATCATAAGAGGTGGTCCCCAAACAGAATTATTGTAAGTAACTGTATTAATTATTGTCCTCAAAGAACTAGACTCAAGAGAGGACAACATAAAGGTCCCTGCCCTTCACCCAGCCTCACATTTATGAGCTCAGCAACGGTGACCTGGGTCTGAAGTTCCCAGAAACTCTGAAAGTATAACTAAAAACGAAGCCACTGATTTCCACAGAAAAACCAGCACACTCAGTCTAAAGCAAATGTAAAAACTAAAGGAAGGAGAGGATCTTGCCTCAGTGCTTCCGTTAAAGGCAGTGAACCACTACAAATCAACAAAGCTTGTCCTAATAGCAGCAGAATTATAGATGAATAGATGAGATTCAGAGCAGATTCAAATCTGATCCAAACACAGATATTTAAAGAAACAGATGCCTCTTTAAAAATTTCTTCTCTTGTGTCAGGAATCTATGAAGAATTGTTTGGTGAAAAAGAGAGACACACATGATGAAAAAAATTTGCTACAACTGTTGACAGCAACGCTGTCAGCAACATAGAAGCCACTTACCATGTTGATCTGCAGGTGCCCCACTGCCCAGTGGTATTGACAGGAGGAGCCGCCCAGGTGAGCTTTATCAAAGAGCAGGAAGTGACTTCACCTGAGGGCTGAGACAATTAAAGCAGTACAGCCTCTTTTCAGTTTTTCACTTCTCTGGTGTCACAGGAGCTGTGATGGGCCTGCCTGAACACCCTGTGATAAAAGTCTGTGCACAACTACCGATGAATTCTCTAAAGCTTATCCAAATTTGCTTGCGACGTATACCTAGGTTGAAAATAACAAATGTCTTTAAGAAAGAATCCTCCTCTTGTATTAAGAATGTATGAAGGGCTTCCCTGGTGGCGCAGTGGTTGAGAGTCCGCCTGCCGATGCAGGGGACACGGGTTCGTGCCCCGGTCCAGGAAGATCCCACATACCGCGGAGCCGCTAGGCCCGTGAGCCATGGCCGCTGAGCCTGCGCGCCTGGAGCCTGTGCTCCGCAACGGGAGAGGCCACAACAGTGAGAGGACCTCGTACCGCAAAAAAAAAAAAAAAAAAAAAAAAGACAATTTGAATTAACAGGAGAAAAGCAAACAGATTTTTACATGTACAGAGGAGCCTCCGTAGGAAAATAAAAACCCAAAGAAGGAGCAAAACCTCAGTGCTTATGTACGAGGTTGGACAATGAGAGGGAATTGTGGAAGAGTAAGTAAAATACACGGGGAGACCAAAGGAAGAGAAGAGTTATTTAAACAAGTTCTGTTTGTAGAGAATTCTCTGTCCCTGACTCCCCCCATCCTCCTGATATGGGGAGGGCCGCTATCACAGGGGAGATTTATCTCCTGCTTTCATGAAGAAAGGGGGAGGTCAGAAGGCACTTCTTGCACCTGGTGTTCTTCAAGTGCCTGCAGCTAAAAATAATCCTCCTGCCAAAGCGGCATGTTTAAGGTGGCGTATATTGCCACCCTTCAATGTATATACAATTTTATTTCTTAGGATAGATTCCCAGAAAGGCAATCAGAGTGTGAAAGGGGAGGTGATTTTTAAAACCTTTGCCATAAAGAAAGCAGTATTTTAAACCAAAGAATGTGCTATTTAACAATTTTCTTTTTTATTTGAGAAGGTCCTTTACGTGCTGTAGTGCCTTCTTATAATTAGAGGATGAAGGCACTTGGACTCTTCTGCTCTGGGGACAGGAGGTCTCATAATCAGATTTACTGGTTTCCTAGAGACAGCCCTGAGAACACATTTTTCCAATACCTTTGGTGACCGGGGATTTATCTCACATGAATAATTCAGCGTGTGCAAACCTCATTTTACCTTCAACCTCTCCCCACATGCTAAGAAAGATCTAAAATGCTTCCAATTTGCCTTGACTTGTGGTGAAAGTCCTAATGAACTGTGAACTACTAATCGGGTCTTGGGGATTTAGGAATGGAGTCAGAACTAAATCCCAGGTCACGCGTTTTCAGCAGGGCGACCCCCTCGGCTACCCTCCCCTTCTAGCTTCTAAGAAGTTAAGCGCCTGGAGGTACGAGGAAAGGGACGGGACTCCACGTTTCCTAGCAACCGCACGCCGTCCCCTGATTGGCTGGTCGCCTCGCGGCCGCCATTTTCAAACCCCGGAAGATGGCGATGGCGGCGGCGGCGGTGGCGGCGCCCTCCTGACAGGAGCCCTTCTCCGGGCCGAAGCGGCCGGGCGCCGTGCGGCTCCCAGCGGGCCTCCCGGGCACCCGACCACCGCGCCGCCCCCTCCACGCCATGGAGCCCGAGCTGGCGGCCCAGGAGCAGAGCCGGCCGCGGAGGCGAAGCCGCCGGGCCTCAGGACTCAGCGCGGGCGGCGCCGCAGAGCCTTCGGCCAACACCCCCGGGCCGGGGCCAGACGGCAGGTGAGCGCTGGGGGCGGCGGCGCCTGGGGAACCCTAGCGTTGGGTCCGAGGTTGGGGAGGGGCTGGGAGGAGGGGAGGGGCAGGGGAGGGCCGGGCTGCCTACTCTCCCCCCTTCTGCCCCTTCCCCCTTCTTCCCCCTCCCCCTTCTCCCCCCTCTTTTCCTTCCTCCTCCTCTTCCCCCTCCTCTCACCCTCCTACCCCTGTTCCTATCATCTTCTCCCTCGTCCTTTATTTCCTTTTCCCACTCCTCTCCCTCCTGCCTCTCCCCTTCCCCTCCCTCCAGTCTCCTGCCCTCCCCCTCCCCCACCTCCCTCAGTGGGCCTTAGAGATCCTCTAAACGTCCGGCAGGTTTTGGGCTGGAATTGGGAAGGTTCCTAAATGCCCACGGGGAACTGCTGGGTCGGAGGACACGAATCGTCCCTGGAGCCAGAGGACTTCTACCAGACAGCAAACTTTTAGCCTAAAAACGAGCATTAATATGAAAAGTTTTGCCGAGGTCAGAGTCCCTCCTTTGGAGCCTTGGCCAAGTCGGTGCTCAGTGCAGCTCACGACCCCAGCCTCCTGGGTAAAGAGAGCGAAGAGGATGGTCGCCGACTTTTTAGCTGTTGACACATTTCACATTCTGTCCCGTGTGTCTGCAAAGGAAGGACACTAGCCGAGGGTTTCAGAGGCTGTGTCTGCAAGAGGAGAGGGTGAAAAAGTGCTAAAGGTGTGGCTTTCCCCTCACGGTTTTGCAGGGAGTGGGTTTCCAGTGACTGGCGGTTGGACCTTACATCCCAGAAGTTGTGTCCTCATCCATCAACTGGGATTTTAATAGTACCCACTTCCTGTAAGTTGTGAAATTCAGTGAGGTCATGTGTGTAACCCTGTACACAGAGAGCTCTCAACAAATGTTAACTGTTATTTGTCGATTTTTATCTATAATTCCACCTATGCTCCATCTTTTCAGAAGCACTGTGGTCCACTTCACATTATTACTTGAGATAAACTACACTTCCTTACATAATTTACATTCCAGTCATGCCTGGATGTGCCAATCCCTTTTTTTTTTAATTTATTTATTTTTGGCTGCATTGGGTCTTGGTTGCTGCGTGCAGGCTTTCTCTAGTTGCAGCGAGCAGGGGTTACTCTTCATTGAGGTGCACGGACCTCTCACTGCGGTGGCTTCTCTTCTTGCGGAGCATGGGCCCTAGAGCGCGTAGCCTTTATTAGTTGCGGTGCGTGGGCTCAGTAGTTGTGGCTCAGAGGCTCTAGAGCGCAGGCTCAGAAGTTGTGGCACACGGGCTTAGTTGCTCCGCGGCATGTGGGATCTTCCCGGACCAGGGATCGAACCTGTGTCCCCTGCACTGGCAGGCAGATTCCTAGCCACTGCACCACCAGGGAGGTCCGCCAATCTCTTTTTGAGAGAAAGGAAAACACCTTACTTTCATAGACAAGGCATTTATAAACTCATTGTAAGTTATCATGCAGAGAGAACAGTATCTTTCATTAGATATTGATTTTTATTTTGAAGCTTACGATAACCCTTGCCTGAAACTTTTATACTGATTACAGCCTACTTTAAGAAGAAGTGAAAGAGCAGAGAGAGAGATGTCATCATCTCTGAGACTGAGAAATGGGAGAATCGGGAAAGAATCGGGAAAGCCTAGTTAAGGGAAAATGAACATAGAATTTCGAAAACATCAAGTGGGGCAGTGTTAAATTCATTGCACCTGCCTAGTGCCAGACATTGTTGTAGATACTGGGAATTCTGGTGAACAGATGAACTCCCTGCTCTCCTGAAGCTTAAAGTCTGCTTGGGTAGGAAAGACAATAATGAAATAAATAATAAAATATCAGGTGGTCATGCTGTGAAGAGGCATACTAAGGGGGATAGAGATAAGGAGAGGGTCATGTTGCTGTTTTTAAAACATCACAAGGAAAAGCCTCTCTGATGATAGTGATGATATTTAAGCAGAGATCTGAAGAAATTAAGGAACAAAGCCATGTGAATATTTGGGGAGAAAGGCAGTAAGTGCAAGTAGAATCCTATGTGGTATGTTCAAGGACTGCAGAGAAGCCAGGGTCACTAGAGTGTAGTGAAACAAAGGGCAGAAAGGTAGATGATGAGGTCAGAGAGATGGCTGGGGCCAGATCGGGTAGTATATGGTTGACTGCCAAAAGGACTTTAAATTTGAATCCGTGGTTGGGAAGCAGTAGGAAATTATGTGATCTGTCTTCTCAAAGGATCGCTTTGTTACATGGCAAGGATAGAATCCGAGAGACCAATTAAGAGGCCATCGCAGTTGAAACATCCGAGTGGTAGATGTGGTGGAAAATATTCATATTTGGGATGTATTTTTAAAGTAGAGCTGACGGGATTTGCAGATGGATTAAATGTGGAGTTAAGAGAAATAGAGGAATGAAGAATGATTCCAAGGTTTTTGGTCTGAGCACCAGAAGAATGGGTTTCCATGTTCCTACAAAGGAAAGACCTGGGGAGTTTGCCTTGGGATGTGTTATAAGACTCTTATTAAGGAGTTCATCACTCCAGTTTCTTTTTTCCTTTTTCTTTTCTCTTTTTCTGCTTTTTTCTCTTTTTTAAAAAAAATGCTTTATTGAAGTATAACAGTCGAATGAAAGAGGGCATGAATCGTAAGTGTTTTTTGCTCAGTGAAATTTCATAAAGTGAATGCATCTGTGTAACTAGGTATAAATCGGGGGGTTGTCGGCAAGCAGACTTGAAATCACAGCATTGTGAAGTCATCTAGATAGTGAGTCTGAATAAAGAAGAGGTTGGGGGGCTTCCCTGGTGGCACAGTGGTTAAGAATCCACCTGCCAATGCAGGGGACACGGGTTCGAGCCCTGGTCCGGGAAGATCCTACATGCCACGGAGCAACTAAGTCCGTGTGCCACAGTTACTAAGCCTGCGCTCTAGAGCCAGCGTGCCACAACTGCTGAAGCCCGCGCGCCTAGAGCCTGTGCTCCACAACAAGAGAAGCCACCACAATGAGAAGCCCACGCACTGCAAGGTAGAGTAGCCCCTGGTCGCCGCAACTAGAGAAGGCCCGCGCGCAGCAACGAAGACCCGACGTGGCCAAAAATAAATTAATAAATAAATTTATTTTTAAAAAATGAAGAGATTGGGGACTTAACCCTGAGGCACTCCCCACATTTAAAGGTCGGGGTAATGAGGATGCTCAGAGGAGCAGCTGGTGAGGTAAGAAAGAGCCAAGTGAGCTCAGGATCCAGGACGCCAAATGTAAGAAAGGATTTTGAGAAAGGACATGGTAAACTGTGTCAAATGTGACTTATAAGGAAGGACTGGAAAGCTTAGTTAGATAAGGAATGAAAAGACCATTAAATCTGGTAATGAGAAGAGCATATTGACCTTGGATAGTTTCCATGAAACAGTTAAAATATTGAATTTAGAATGTTTGTAGTGGGTTGAGAAGAGAATGAGGTGTGATTTGTTCCAGAAATATGTGAGTGTTAGACACTAGGAGTATGGAGATGGAAAAAACTGTCCTTACTCTGGAAGAACTTATAATGATATAGGGAAGAAAGTTAATAATTATAATAGTGTATGACAGCAGTTACTATAACTATATATATGATGCCGTAGATGCAAATAAAAGGAGAACTTACCCTGACTGGAGAGGACAGGAAATGATTCCCTGTGGTAATCCCTGAGTCTTGGAGGAGCAGTTTAGAGCGTAGGTGTAAATGGGTGACGTCATATGGGGGAAGGATGTTAAATGTTAAAAGGCCCTTAAGCAAATGAGCATGATGAGTTCTAGGTATCATAACTAGTTCACTGTGGCTTGACGCCAGTTGTGTAGGAGAGGACTCAGACCCAGAGGAGGTAGTGATGAGAGATTTTACTGAAGTAAGAGTCACATCATGAAGGGACCTTGTATGCCATGACAGTAAATCTTAGGAAAACTGTTTCCTAAAAAGTGCTCATATACATAAAATTTCAGATTCGTGAACCCTTGCAGCCCAACTATGGCCAAGTTAAAAATCCCCAAGTGGGGCTTCCCTGGTGGCACAGTGGTTGAGAGTCCGCCTGCCGACGCAGGGGACGCGGGTTTGTGCCTCGGTCTGGGAAGATCCCACATGCCGTGGAGCGGCTGGGCCCGTGAGCCATGGCCGCTGAGCGTCCGGAGCCTGTGCTCCGCAACGGGAGAGGCCTGCGTACCCGAAAAAAAAAAAAAAAAAAAAAAAAAAATACAGGAAAAGGAAAATATCACCTTTTTTAAAAATATTGTTCACATACTATAGTTCACCCATTTGAGGTGTATAATTCATTGTTGTCCTATCGATTCACAGACGTGTACAACCATCACCAGGCAATTTTAGAACATTTTCTTCACCTCAGAATGAAAACCCATATACCCTTTAGTTATTCATCCCCCTCCCCAACACTCCTTTCTTGCTTTACCCCAACCTCTAATCTACTTTCTGTCTCTATGAATTTCCCTCTTCTGGACATTTCACATGAATAGAATCATGTGGCCAATTTTAGTGAGCCCTCCTTTGCCCATTTTTAAAATTGGGTTATTTATATTTTTTATTATTAAGATATAAGGACTTTTTATTCTGGATACAAGTCCCTTACCAGATACATTGTTTGCAGGTAGATATGTTCTATTCTGTGGGTTGTCTTTTTTTTTTAATTGAAGTATAATTGATTTACAAGTTTTGTTAGTTTCTGGTGTACAGCAAAGTGATTCAGTTATACATATATATTCTTTTTCAGATTCTTTTCCATTATTGTTTATTGCAAAATATTGAATGTAGAGCCATGTTCTGCACCTCCTCCAGCAGCAGCCATGGCGGCAGCTTGGGCATTGTGGCGAGGGGGATGGTGCCGGGCAGACCCTCCCTAGAGGTCTCCCTCCTCTGCCTCCTCCCCTCACCGCTCCGCAGCTCCATTATTTCTTCAAATATTTTTTTCTGCTCCTTTCTCTCCTTTCCTTCTGGTACTCTCACTGCATGTATATTGGAGCGAAATCTG